ACGCGCAGGTAGGTACCACCACCCCGCCTATTTCTGCCGTGAATCAGTAATGCGTTTCGGTCTAAAGGGTGGGGCAGGCGTTGTAACTATACTGAGACCTTAGAACTTATATCTCAAGGTGGGTAGCGCATTTACGTTGTAGATGTCTATGGGATCTAGTAACCAATGAACACAAGGTGGGCTGTGAGCTCGTCCACCTATCTAAGCAATAAAATAAAGATCAGGTTCCTTCTCCGAATCCTAATTCAATGCTAAATCCCTGGTACTCACTGAACCTATCATGGGATAGAAATCTTTGATTGTCGAATTTGACAGAGAAAGTACCATGTAATGGTGATACAGTGGTTAAGTTACGAAATAAACCAAAAACCAACCTAATACCCTGTTTTTACATAGGACGCAGTGAAAAGCCGATTCGTAGTTATTATAAAGCTATAATTGTTAGATATTGAAAAGCATAAATAAATAATAATTGGAAAAAACATGCTTTTGTGAACTAAAAAGCAGAAAAAATATTTCTGAGGTAAGAAAATATTAGGGTGAACATTTTATCATAAGAAAAAGCTTTGGACGTATAATCGATTTATTTTCTACTTATGATGAGTTCAGTTAGCTACGAAAAAGTGTATGTTTTCAGTATTTTTAAAATTAAATTACATATTATTATCTATTTTTGCTTTTTACAAAGCTAAAAGTTGGCGAACTAGTTATTGATTTAAGAGAGAGTGTAAGAAAATTTCTTTCAAAAATTGAAAAGTTAATAGTAAACTTTTTGAGGGTACAATGGACTGTGCATCGCTGATGAACTACATCGGGGTCCGGTCGTCGGGGCGCCGTTATCGAGCACACGGCCCGTCGGACCAGAAACCATGCGTAATTCAACCGACGAGAATCCTTGTATATTCGTTTTATATACACTTATGTAGATCAATTATCGTTCAATTGTTATCTAAATACTGCTACGCGCTGGGGTTCGGGATAAATAAAACTTCACCAAAGTACAACTTAAAAATTGTATTCAACACTTAGAACATTTATAAACACTTTAAAACTCTCAATTCGCTTGTTCCACTTCGCTTCAGGTGATCCGTTCGCTTCGAGTAGTACCGATTACTAACTGACTGTAATCTGACGAAAATATTCGCTATAGAAATAGGACAGTCTGGAATCAATGAGCTATAATAGAAATAAACTTAGATAAGACAGAGATGATTGAAAAATTCACCGAGGCAATAAAAGAACCAGACCCGTATCTAGTATTTAATTGCCAAACAGCGCGAATCCTTTGATGTTTTCCTAATTCTCGACAGCTATTCCACTAGAGCGAGCTAAAATTTACGTGAAAACTTCCAAATTCGCTTCATCATTCCAGTAATTAATGTTCGGAGGAAAGTTAATATTTAGTTTTTGCGTTGTTGATGTTTTGGCCGTTATTAGGATGGTATTCGATTACCTTAATTTTTGCGTAGTTTTTTTTGAAGTTATACTTCTTTAGGCGCGTTATGAAAAACAGAAATGAAGTTGCCCACTAAATCGCTCATTACAATACGACCGAGGTAGCTTGGCGAGTCTGAATATAGCCGCAGGTGTACTTTCGCGCATGTACACTCGTAAAAAAAAGTGTTATTAGCATTCATTTTTTTTAAATCAAAATACGAATTAAAATTTCCAAATACAGGGACCAAGTACAAATAAAATGAATATCAAAACACTATGAGACAGAAAGCTATAAAAATAACGTAATAATTTAAAGAGAGATAATAAAAGAATACTAAATTAAGACAGAAAGCTGTAAAAATAACGTAATTAAATTAATTCGAAAGTAAGCCCGAACACTGCCTTCAGTTGCGATCCGCTGTACTGTGCGTTGCGATACACCAGTTGCGTTAGCAACTCTAAATAAAACTGTCAACAACTTTTACGCCTTCTTCTTTTTCTTTTAATTTTTTTTATCAAAAATTATGTTTGTCGGCCGACGATTTAAAACATGTAACGTGCGGAACCGAAATATAATAAAAAATCCTCGCACGCTAAGCGGAACCCAAAAGTGTCGACCAACGCCGCGCGACCGACACCTGCGCAGGATTCGTAAAAATGCAGTCAGTGAGTTTCGAAAAATTTGAATAACGCGCATGCGCCGGTCGCTGCACAAAATTATTAATTTAAAAACTATCTTGTTATACCTTGTTGTACCTTAAGTAGTAACGATTAAATAAATGATTAACATAAAATTGGCGCCTAACTAGTGGCCGTCATCGTATTTAAGTCGACGCGTACATAAATACTTACCCACTAGAAATTTCGAGAAGTACCTGAAAAATGCCGCCGCGAAAAATACGCCAACAGACGGATGACAATAGTGATTCTGGTGATGAAAAGGTGGACGCAGTGCCCTCGCCAGCACCAGTGCTCATGTCCGGGGATCAGCTGTCCTCGCTCCTGGCCGCCTTCTCAAAGTCGCAGGCCGAGGCGAACCGACAACTCGTCGAGTCCCTGTGGGCATCGCATGGTTTGGGAAGTGGATCGAAGTTCACCACCCCGATAGTGTCACCGTCCCCGACGCCAACAAGTAACATGGCTAAATGCACCGCGCGTTTTGATGGCGTNAGATATTTATGTTTCAGGCTAGCCGGTAAAATTTTACATATTTTATATAGTTTAGAGTAATCTCCTTTACATTGATTCTTTGTCTTTTTATTTACGAGTAATTTTAAAAATCTTGTTTGCAATGATTCTATTTTATCTATGTATGTTTTAAATGTTAATCCATAGCAATCAAGAGCGTAACTTATTATTGAATCCACTAGTGCAAAATATAAACATTTTAGTATTGGCAATGGAACTTTAATACTTAAATAATAAAACTTTTCTAGTAATATTCTTAATTTTCCACATAAGTATTCTATGTGGGAATCCCAGGAAAAAGAGGTATCTATTTTTACTCCTAGGTATTTTACACAATTAACTTTTTCGATAGGATTACACGTGCAGTTAATTTTCTTATTGTGGAAGCAATCAAAGCTGTGGGCAATCAGAGGAGGCGGATTATCAATAGAACGTAAATACGGGGAGTGAATAATTATCATCTTTGTTTTGTCAGCGTTTAATATAATGCCGTTATCATGTGACCATTTAACTACCGCATCCACATCCTCTTGAACCCGGCGACACATTTCCGCGAGGTCGGTACTAGCGCTCAGAGTACAAAGGTCATCGGCAAACATATGGGCGGAGCAGTGACGTAATACTCCACAGAGGCTATTTACGTGCATCAGGTAACACACGGGCCCACATCCGGAGCCCTGGGGAACTCCGCAGTTTACTTGTTTCTCCTCGCTGAACGCATCGCCGACTTTCACACGGTAAGAGCGCGCCCTGAGATAGTCGCTGAACCAAGGGTTCAGCGGCTGCCCCAGGCCGCACTCCTCCATTCCATTTAAGAGGGTTTCAGTCTGTAGGGTATCAAAAGCCTTCCTAAAATCATAAAAAATAGCTACAATAATTTTTTTATTTTCCAAATGTGCATTAATTTCGTCCGTAAAATTTGATAATAAGGTGTTGGTACTTTTATTTTTCTGGAAGCCATGTTGACATTCCGTTAAGATATTATTTTTTTGTAAAAAAGTTCCTATTTGATTGATAACACATTTTTCCATAATTTTATCAATACTTGATAGTATAGCTATTGGTCTGTAATTCGAAAATACTTTACGATCACCTCTCTTATGGACCGGACGAATGATTGCTTCCTTTAATTTTTGTGGAAATTTGTGGTATTTTACAGATAGATTTATCAGCTTAGATAAAACAGGGCTAATCTTATCAACAATTATTTTCAAATCAGACATGCGTATAAGATCACTTCCCGGTGATTTATTTTTATTCATTTTATCAATTATTAGTTTTATGTCCTTGCCATTAACCGGTTGCCATCTCATACACACATTAGACAATTTAACATAAGTCTTCCTTTCCAGCCATTTTTCATCACAGGAGTGCTTTATTTGATCAATTTCCTTTGAGAATGTATCAGCAAATTCATTACAGACTGCCTGCGTGCCGTCCTGTTTAGTTATGTTACTTAAGATTAGATTATCCAAAGACTGCTTATTTTTACCCAATAACTCATTAATTTTATCCCAAACTTTTTTAATATTATTATTACAATCTAAAATTGTTTTTTTATCATGTTCTACGTTACATTTAAAAATTACCTTTTGACATTTATTTCTGTACCTAGTATAAGTTAGTCTTTTTACCATATTCTTTGGATCGCTACACCATATTTTGAATAATCTATCTTTTACAATAACCATATTTTTTAAGCTGTTGTTTATCCAGTACTTTTCATTTCTATAGTCTCTGTTTCCAGTCATATTTTTTACTTTATAACATTGGTTATATATGTCTCTAAATAAAGTTGATAGCTCGTCGTATAATTTAAATGGGCAATCAATATTTAAGAGATGATTGAAGTTAGTTTCTAATAATTTTTCTCTGACCAATCTATTATCAAGCACATGGCGGTGGCACTGGGCCGTGGTAGTGGCGGGCGCAGCGCATGATTCACACACCTCGCACGAGTGAGCTACATTCGGGGTCTGTTTCCATTGTACAGATGCCGCGACCAAATAATGATCTGATATTTTATGTTTTATTACTGCAGAATCGATTAATGCTGAGGGTGATTTAATAAATATATGATCTAAACATGATTCGACTACATTACCCATTAAAATTTCCCTTCTTGTCACGTCTTTAATACATTTTGTAAAACCATGTTCGGCTAATAAATCTTCATAACATTTTACGTATTTCTCTGTATCTTTTAATAAATTTATGTTTATATCCCCACATATTATTACTTTGTCACTAGTAGATAATGACTGTAAAAGTTTTTCAAAGTAGGTTAAACATTCTTGGATTTTATTCTGATTATTGTATCTTGGTGGACGGTATATTGAAATGACGTGTAATTGCTCACCTTGCCAGTCGCAAACAATGGAAACAAACTCGGCTGCGCGCTCGCCATTCACAAGGATAGGATTAAGCCGCGCGCACAACCCCGCGCGAGAGTAAACCAACACTCCTCCACCTCTACGCCCATAACGAGTGTGTACATTAACATCGAATCCAGGAATGCTATAAAATGGTAACAAAGAATAATTGACGTTAGGTTCAGTTATGACTAATATATCTATATAATTAAGACGGTCGTTAAGCGCTACTAAAAGTTCTGAAAAATGTTTTTTTATAGAACGAATATTTACGTGAATAATACATAGTTCTTTTTTTGTAGATACTTTGACTTATCCAATTATCTATGCTATCAGTACATACATAATTAATAGATTCATCATCAATTATTATGTCTAACTGAAATGAATCGTTGAATTTTATAAGAATAGTTAAACACAAACATACCAGTTATTAGGTAGTTAATAAAAATAAAAGTACTTCAGTTTATGTTAAGTAAGGTCACGATTTCACTTTCATTACGGATGCATATTGACTTTTCACCTTCACTTTTTTTAACTAGAATTTTACCACTAGATACCCATATGTACTTATATACGCCATGAAGCTGCTTCTTTGTGTTCCACAGCAGGGTTCTAGTTACCTTAGTAAGTGCTTCGTTGATGTATATTTTGTTGGTGGCCAATCCACCTGTGATTTTGTCACTCGTCACCTGCATAATTTTACGGCGCTGCGCCAACCAGGTGTCACGGGAGTCAGCTCCTGAGGCCTTGAATTTCACCACTATAGGTGCCGGTTTTGCGCTACTTTTCAGAGGGCGGGTGGTCGTGGTTCGCCTGGCCCACTCGATTTCTGATGTACTTACATTAATTATGTCCCCAACCTTAGAAATAACCTCCTTGAGATTTTCACCTGGTAGTTTTTCGATGCCCACTATTTCTATGCGGTAATTTAGAGAAGCCTGCTCGAATTCATGGATCTCCTGTTCAAACGCAACGTTGCACTTTTCCAAATACACACACTTATTGTTTATATTTAAAACTGTCTTCTCCAATCTACTGATCTTTTCCCGTGATTGTTGGTTTTCTGCAATTATTGTATCGTACCTATCCGACAACAAGCTTAGACTTTGCGTTATTTCATCAAGGTGTGTTTTTACTTGCGGTATTGCACCTACTTTTTTCTGGATGTCCTTAAGTATTTTTTCTTCAATTAAAGAGACCAACTCAGTCTTAAGTTTCGACAAAAGCGATAACTCCATGTTTCTAAAATATTCATCTAAATTACCCGCCACCGACGGTAAGGGTGCGTGGGGCGGAGGACTGTCGAATATTGATTTAACAGAAGTAATAACGTCGTTTTTTGGAGGCAATTTACAGGCTGGACACTTCCAGTTTGACTTAGCTTTAGCTGCAAGTTTACCGAAGGAGGTCTTTGTGTATCCAACACAGCCGTAGTGGTAGTTATTTTTACATTCATAACAACATAATTTATCCGCTGCACTGATGAGTTGTTGACAATCAAAGCACGAACTCATCGTGTGGGTATGCACCACGGAATAGATAAATAAGGTTGGAAAGGCCTTTGCTCTAATTTTGTATTAGAACCAGTGTCGCCGCTTCATCCCCACTATTTTAATTTCTACACATACACACACTGTGATTACAAGTATTTCGCACACAACAAAAACACCCACACATAAATCTCAGGACAGATATTCGTTCGCAAACTAGCACAAAACACCCGTAGGNATACACACACTTATTGTTAATATTTAAAACTGTCTTCTCCAATCTACTGATCTTTTCCCGTGATTGTTGGTTTTCTGCAATTATTGTATCGTACCTATCCGACAACAAGCTCAGACTTTGCGTTATTTCATCAAGGTGTGTTTTTACTTGCGGTATTGCACCTACTTTTTTCTGGATGTCCTTAAGTATTTTTTCTTCAATTAAAGAGACCAACTCAGTCTTTAGTTTCGACAAAAGCGATAACTCCATGTTTCTAAAATATTCATCTAAATTACCCGCCATCGACGGTAAGGGTGCGTGGGGCGGAGGACTGTCGAATATTGACTTAACAGAAGTAGTAGCGTCGTTTTTTGGAGGTAATTTACAGGCTGGACACTTCCAGTTTGACTTAGCTTTAGCCGCAAGCTTACCGAAGGAGGTCTTTGTGTATCCAACACAGCTGTAGTGGTAGTTATTTTTACATTCATAACAACATAATTTATCCGCTGCACTGATGAGCTGTTGACAATCAAAGCACGAACTCATCGTGTGGGTATACACGATTATAAACGAATATGCAACGCTAGTCACTCGAGTTTGCGATTAAAAGGGCCTAAGCGCCGGGCAGCAGCCGTCACTTACGCGTTTTACCGCGATGTTTATCACTGTTCACTACTGAAGATGCTAAATCAAAATTATAAAATATTATACACAAATTCTACTTAAACTGACTAATATTATTTAAATACAATTAAATTATAATATTGGCTGTCACTTGAAATGTCTACTTAAACAAAATTTAGATGAAACTGTAACTCTTAACAAGTAAAACTTTAAAATATCTTGGTGCAAAATAACTACGTGTCGTTCGATTGCAAACGTGCGTGCGATGTCCAGGATGCCTATCTAAATTATTATTATCAGTACGTATCATTAAGTTTTCTCATGAACTATTCTCAGTGCTCTGACGTCACATGTATTTTGTGATAAATGCAGAGATTGATTGACCTTTGTCTTGTCAACAGAAATATTACGGCCCGTGATGAGGTTCGGGTCGAGCAGTACACTAGAGAGCGACTAATCAAATCGGATATCGAGCATCCCGAACTAAAGCCTGGACAAGTGATAACGATACAGGCTAGCCGCGTTCGGCTGTTATTTACATTTCCAAGTGTGCAGCCATCGAATGCGCCATAAAGCCGCGCTAAGGGCCGCCCGTTCGCCTCATAACAGTAACTAACTACCAACGATAAAACTTTCCCGTTTCTCTCCTAAATAATCCTCAGTGAAAATTGGACGAAACAGCATCTTTAACTGCGCACCCCATTACAGGGCGGCGATGCTTATAGCCTCCGTGTACTTTCTGTTTTACCTTATTGAAGTGAAACTTCTTTAGAATCATTGTGATTTCAAACTCGATGAAACGAAAAAATAAGTCCATGGAGATCCAAACACATAAATGTATAGGATTCAGCCGGCGAGATGAGATAGAACACATTATACGTGAAGTTAAAATATCAATTCACAGAGGGCGCTACCTCATAGTATAAAAGATGATTTACAATTATTAGTTTACTAATGACAAAATTTTACATATACTTAGACATTTAGGTTAATTATATTAT